GGAGCTCTGGAGAGCTCCTGCCTACAAGGGACCGCCACTTGACGCCTGTGGGGTGTGGGGAGAGGCCCGGCGTGGCGGCACCCTCATCCCTGACAGCTCTGACATTGGGCGCTCTAGCAGCAGCGACAGCCACTCTGTTGGCCTCTGGGAGCCCTGCCGTGGGCACCCCGTTCTGTCAGACTGAAATGGGGTGAGCGCCTGGTGCCTTGGCTAAAATCCCTTCCAGCTCCTCTGCTTCCGACCCGGCGTCCTGGTAGCATGCACCCTGGGAGGCAGCAGGTGCTGGCTCAAGGACTCGGGCCCCTGCCGCCCACACGGGAGACTCACTGTGTGTTCCTGGTCCTGGCTTCTGCCTGGCCCAGTCCTGGCTCCCAAAGGCATTTGGAGATGGAAGCAGCAGATAGAAGATTTGTCTGTCTTTCAGATAAATCAAACTTAACGACTGACTTTCAAAACACAGGCTGAGTTCACAGTGAGCCCTCAGCCTGTCCTCAGGCCACACGCAGAACTCTCTTCAGTGCGGAAGGCTCTAGAACCTCCGGGGAAAGCCCTCGGTCAGCCATGCTTCCAGGAGCACCTGCATCAGTGCCCATCCTGCCCACCCTGCCCCTTCTTCTCCCCTGCAGCTTTGCCTCAGCTGTGCCCGCTGTGGCAGGGGCAGAGTGCGGCCTGTGTGCAGGGTTGAGGGCGGGGTCTGTTGTCTTGGGTTGGGCTCTGATCTGGTTTTGCCATTGGCTGTTGGACCCTCACCTGCACGCCCACCCTGCATGGCCTGACCCTGGGGTGGGGCTGGGGGGACACTTGCTGAGCCTGCAGAGGCCCGCACCTCCTGCTCTGGCTGCCCTGGTGGACATCGCAAAGCCTCGAGGAGCCCTTGTGGAGAAGGGGACCCCTGAGAGGCAGAAGCCATCCTGGCCCTGTCACACCGATGACCTCGCAGGACCGTCGGGAACCACTGAGTCCCCCAGCCTTGGACTTGGCAGTGAGTATGGCAGGGGCACCTTGGGGTTTCTTGCCCGGCAGAACCCACAACAGGCCTCCTTCACCTGTCCTGGACACCCCCACAGCCTGGCTCCTCCCTTCGGTTTCGTCTGGGCCTAGTCTCCAAGCAAGAGGGAGTTCACACCTCACGCGGTGTCCCCTCCCTGTCCACACTCACACTGGGCAGCCGAAAGGACACACACACCCCCGCCAGACTCACAGATCCGGGCGACTCAGCAACCACGTGGAGGGAAGGGAAGGGGGTGCTGCTTGTCGCTTCCTGCAGCTGACCACCCCCCGGCCCCAAGCCGGGGCCCCAGGAGGCCACAGAGCTCGCCTGGCCTGGGCCCTCAGGCCTGACTGTCCCCAGGTCTCACACTTCCCTGGGAACCCTCGGAAGCTGCGTCTGACATGGAGACCCCTGGGCCGAGGCTGGCAGAGAAAGGCTTAGCTCAACCGAGCGCTCTGGCGCGACACAGCGAGAGAAGCAAGAGACCCAGGAAGAGCCACGGGCTGCCGTGCGCGCTCCGTCGTGGGGTGGCCAGAGCCCTGTGCTGCCTGCTGGAGGCTCCCCAGAGGACTGGCCACATGCAGATGGGCCAGCATCCGGGACCCCGAGGGCGATGGGCCCGACTTGCCCAGTGCTGGCACCAAGGGCCAAGCACTCTCCCCGGCAAGGCCAGCGCCACCCTGCCCCCGACGCCCACCTGAGTCACTTCAGGGAGGAGGTGCCCGCCGAGGGCACAGCGCCCACTCCTGCCGGCCCGCCGGGGCAGAGGAGCTGCTGTCAGCAGCTTAAGCCCTGGAGGCCAAGCGCTGGGGCCAGGGGCGACTGAGAGAGCCCAGAGCGCCCAGCACAGTGGGGCTCACAGCAGGTAAAGAGCCGGGAGCCGCGGCACAGTCCCTCCGGCCCAGCTCACGCTGCCTCCCCCAGTGCTCGGCTCCGCCTGCAGGCAGCAGTTCAGAGAACCGGAACTGACAGTGCACCAGGCAACCTCACCAGGAGAGGAGAGGGCAGCTGTGGTCTTAATTTAACCCAAAGTCTCTACACACACATCTCCACACACACATCTCCACACACACACGCACACGCACACGCACATGGCTAGGAAAAGCTCAAGACCAGACCAAGGTGTCCAGGCTACCATGTGGAGGGTCACAGCTGACGGCTCTGCCTAAGAAGCCAGACGAGAAGGGAGAAACCACGCGGACGCTGGGTCTGCTCTGAGTGCGTGCTCTGCATACGCATACACCCGCGTGTCGACGCCCAAGTTCATCTAAACACGGAAGCACAGTGACCAGCGCTGGGCACCGCGCTGTGTGCCCGCCCCCAGTGCACTGTCTACACAGTATCTAGCGGTGTGCCTGCCTGCCCCCAGTGCACTGTGTCTACACAGCATCTACTCCTGTGCCCGCCCATCCCAGTGCACTGTGTCTACACAGCATCTACTCCTGTGCCTGCCCGCCCCAGTGCACTGTGTCTACACAGCATCTACTCCTGTGCCTGCCCGCCCCAGTGCACTGTGTCTACACAGCATCTACTCCTGTGCCCGCCCCAGTGCACTGTGTCTACACAGCATCTACCCGTGTGCCTGCCCCCAGTGCACTGTGTCTACACAGCATCTACCCGTGTGCCTGCCCCCAGTGTACTGTGTCTACACAGCATCTATCCGTGTGCCTGCCCGCCCCAGTGCACTGTCTACACAGCATCTACTCCTGTGCCTGCCCGCCCCAGTGCACTATCTACACAGCATCTACCCGTATGCCTGCCTGCCCCCAGTGCACTGTGTCTACACAGCATCTACTCCTGTGCCCGCCCCAGTGCACTGTGTCTACACAGCATCTACCCGTGTGCCTGCCCCCAGTGCACTGTGTCTACACAGCATCTACCCGTGTGCCTGCCCCCAGTGTACTGTGTCTACACAGCATCTATCCGTGTGCCTGCCCGCCCCAGTGCACTGTCTACACAGCATCTACTCCTGTGCCTGCCCGCCCCAGTGCACTATCTACACAGCATCTACCCGTATGCCTGCCTGCCCCCAGTGCACTGTGTCTACACAGCATCTACTCCTGTGCCCGCCCCCAGTGCACTGTGTCTACACAGCATCTACCCGTGTGCCTGCCCGCCCCAGTGCACTGTGTCTACACAGCATCTACTCCTGTGCCTGCCCGCCCCAGTGCACTGTGTCTACACAGCATCTACCCGTATGCCTGCCTGCCCCCAGTGCACTGTGTCTACACAGCATCTACTCCTGTGCCCGCCCCCAGTGCACTGTGTCTACACAGCATCTACCCGTGTGCCTGCCCGCCCCCAGTGCACTGTGTCTACACCGCATCTACCCGTGTGCCTGCCTGCCCCAGTGCACTGTGTCTACACAGCATCTACTCCTGTGCCTGCCCCCAGTGCACTGTGTCTACACAGCATCTACTCCTGTGCCTGCCCACCCCAGTGCACTGTGTCTACACAGCATCTACTCCTGTGCCCGCCCCAGTGCACTGTGTCTACACAGCATCTACCCGTGTGCCTGCCCCCAGTGCACTGTGTCTACACAGCATCTACTCGTGTGCCTGCCCGCCCCAGTGCACTGTCTACACAGCACCTACTCAGCACTTGCCCTCGGGCAGTTAAAGCCCTGACCTCCGGGGCAGGCGGGAAGAGGCTCGGGGCCGTGGTGGGGGTGTGTGTGTGTGTGGCTCTGGCGGGTCGGATCACAGAGACGGGCTGGGAGCAGAGCACGGGGAGGTGCTGCCCCCGAGCACGTGCACACGGGAACGCGCCTCCCTTCAGGGAGCAGTGGGACTCTGTCTCTGCCCACAAGGTCGGACACATTTTCCAATTACACACATGATTACACAGGCAGGCCCAGCTCTACGTGAGCCTGAACCACTCCAACTGAAGCACGTGAGCTTCCTGCAAGCCGCACAGAATCAAGCCGCGTTGTGAAGGCAGCGGCCTCTGCGGCCTCGCTGATTAGAGGGGCACTACACCGGCTGCCCACTGGGAAATGTGCACAGGGAAAATTCCACCCGATGCAGCCCTGGGTGGGAGGGGACGCGGCGCCCCACAGCGAGGAGCGAGCGGCGCCTGCGGGGAGGGGCGAGGCAGGAGCGAGGAGGGAGGGTACCCTTCTCGCCCACTCAAGACAGCCGTGCTCACCCACCTGCATGTGGAGCCGTGAGTCCGTGGCAGGCTCACCCTCTCCAGCCTGCAGGCTGAGTCCTGCTCCTGTCTGCCCAGGCCCTCTCCCTGGAGTCCACAGGGTCCCCACGTCCCTGGGGCTACTGTCTGCATGGGGCCACTGTCCTGGGGTGCACAGCTCACCCAGGCGCTGTGCTCCGTGCATAGGGCCCAGAGCCACAGACATGACGGCACCAGGAACTAATGGTTTAGGACACCCCCACCCCCAAACTCACAACAGCACCAGAGCCTTCCCGGCTGGCCCTACGTGAGCACAAGACCTTGGCTGAGACCCTGGGGCCCCTGGGGGAGCCAAGCCTACGGGCAGGAAGGTCCTTCCTCCTGTCTCAAACAGCCTGGCCTTAAAGGCCACCAACGACACAGAGAACAGCAGCACACCTGGCCTGTGGCATCCATGTCGTGGGCACCAAGGACAGACTAAAACCACAGGCAGGGGCTACAAAAGCTGCCAGGTGGGGGTGCACGTGCCCACTCACCTCCTGAAGGAGGGGTGTGGAGGGACCCCCCCGCACGCAGGGGCTCAGCAGAGCCGGCATAGGACCCCCAGTGGGAAAAACAAATGTCTCTCAGACCTTCCCTAAACACGGAGGGTAAGAGGTGTGAGGACAGCCCCGGTGACTCCACCGGGGAGCTCCGGTTCTTCCTCCCAGCAGCACATGGTCCACCCGCACGAGACGCAAACAGACGCACAGAGCCGCCCCCGAGACCAGCACACCGAGGCCAGAATGGGCAACGACGGCACCGAGGCTCTGCAGCCGGGAGCCAGCTCCACTGGCACCCCAACCAGCGGACCCTCGGGCGGTCTGTTTGAAGAACACACCTGGGGCTTTCTCCACAAAGATGACCTTGGAGTCCTGCAGGAAGTTGTGGCCGGACAGAACCATCTTCTTCCCGCCGCTGACTGGGTAGCTGTCCATGCTCTGCTTCTCCACAAGGGGCAGTTCCTGTGCTGAGCGCTGGGCTGCGGCAGATGGGAGAGGACGGTGACTGTGACCTCCCGGGCCTGCCTGCCCCACCCCGCACCTCTGAGGGCACGCGCATGCACCAGGAGATCCTGGCCAGCACGTCCATCCCTCGCGAGCAAGCGCAGTGAGATGAGGGCTTGTGTGTGCCCGTGCAGCGAGCGCTATGGCTGTGCCGCTCGTGTGAGGACAGGAAGTGCGGCCACACTCTGTCCTGATGGCCCCCAGCACCACGCGAAGACAGCCACGGCCTTCCACTGGACATGACTAGCCAGGCCACAGTGCTCACGCAAACAAGCGGGACCTGTCTGTGTTGGCGTCCAGTTCTCCGTGCACAGGCATGCGTCTCAGAGCAAACAGACTTGGAGAAGACTCAACCCACTGCCACTCGAGTGGGTGCGCACAGAGTGCGGGGCCCTGTGGGGACACCAGCAGAGGCCACCCCTGGGGCTGGGTCAGGGGTGGGGAAGGCAGGAGACCAAGGAGGATGACCGTCCGAGGGGAGGAGGAGGGGCCTGGCCGAGCTATGTGTGTTCCTTCCTGGGGGTCAGCTGGCGCCTTGGCTGTGCCCGACTCAGGGTGGCTACGAGGTGCCAAGTGCAGGGCCCGGACAGGGACCGAGGCGCTGCACAGGGCCTGACGTGCCAGCAGGGGATCCGTGAACTCGCACTGCTCCGGGAAGGTGTCGGCCAAGCCGTGGTGGCAGCACAGGGCCAGGCAGCCTCCACCGTGCTTGGTGGCCCACACGCTAATGAGAGAAACAGAACCGAGGCCACCGGGGAGGCTTTGGGAGTCCGGGCTTGTTCTGCGCACGCCCTGCAGCTGCACACACCCTCCTCCCAGCTCCCTGATCCACGCAAACAGCCCCGGCATCCAGCTCTTCCCGGGGGCTCCTGCAGGTGCTGAGAGCTGGGCGTGCCGGCTGGGGCAGGCTGGTCACCCACGCAGTGTGAACTGAAACCCGTGCACAGCCGCCCTCATCCTGACAAGCACACACCTCCCAGTCCTGACGCAAGTCCCATGTGCACCCAGGCAAGGTGTGGCCTGGGCGGCCCCTGCTGCCCAGGAGGGCGAGCTGCGTCTACTTACAGCACTCGATGGGGTTCGAGGCGACCTGGAGGGACAGCGTGCGGCCACTGGGCTGCGGGACGTGCACGCGGAACACCAGCCGCACCCGGGTGTTCTTCCTGCCGATGTCTGTCTCCCCCTTCCGCAGCTCGATGTCGGAGTTTCTGAGCTTTAAAATCCCGGCACAGTCAATGCTGCCGAAACAGAAGCCACAGCTCGTATTTAGCTGCTGATGTGAGAACGTGGAGCAGGTCCCGCCTCCCACACACGCCAGGCTCAGCCTGCGGACAAACCACGCACGGCGAGTGCCAGCAAGCCCTGGGCTCCCCACACAGCAGCCCTGAGCAGACGCAGCTCGGGGACGCCTGTGTCCTCCACCCCCGGCCTGAACAGCCCAGACACTGGCCCCGTGACCCCGGCCCCGCGCTGGCCTGGGGGACGTCCCAGAGCAGCTCGGGCAGCAGGGGTGGCCAGGGCTGCACCTCCTCTGTCCCGCAGCAGCTCCAGGAAAGCCCGGTTTATGGAAATAGCCGTCACTATTTCCATTACTCAGGTCAAGGTCGCTCACTTTCTCAGGAAGCCTTTTCTTCTGCAGTTCATGTAACTTCATCTAACTTAACAACTTCGGCTTCATGCAGGACAGGCTCCAGGAAAACGAGCCACGGGTCGGTTCTCCGTGCAACAAACACCCGCTTTTTCGTCTCTCTCAAGCTCGGCGGGAGCAGAGGCGCAGGGTGACCGCAGCAGCCCGGCTCTCCCCAGCCTCTGCTCACAGCCTGCTCCTCGGAAAACACAGCTCCCGAAGACAGCCCAGGCTCTGGATGGCGCCGGCTGGGCCTGAAGTCCACCAAGCTCACAAGCGCCAACAGAGGTGCTTCCCTTTGCTTTCCACTTACAGGGATTAAAAGTTGTCAACGACTTTTAAAACCCCATGCGGTTCCCACACACTGTGGCTCCCACCTGCCTTGTGTCCTGTGCTCTCTCCCTCAAATACTGGCAGCCGACAAACGCCCCAGGGCCTCTGCACCTGCAGCCCGAGGGCGGGCCCCTCCCGCACACCCTCTCTGCTGAACGTCTCCTTCCCAGAGACAGCTTCCTTGACGTCCAGCGGGGCAGCCCATGCACTCCCAGCCCACTCTGACCACACGTTTTCATGACTGCATCTCGGGGCTCACGCATCTGTGTGCCAGACCTGCCGCTGCCACACACACAGGGACAAAGAGCTCTCTCTTCTGCCGCATTCACAGTTTGGGGTGGACGGGCACATCACATAATAGCTGCTCAAGGGGGCCCGCATTGTGGCACAGTGCTGGCATCCTATATGGGTACCGATTCAAGTCCTGGATGCTCCACTTCCAACCCAGCTCCCTGCTAATGTGGCTGGGAAAGCTGCAGAAGATGGCCCAAGTCCTTGGGCCCCTGCTACCCGCATGGAAGACCAGGAAGAAGCTCCTGGCTTCAGCCTGGCCCTGGCCCTGCTGTTGCGGCCATTTGGGGATCTCTCTCTCTCTCCCCATCTCTCTGTAACTCCGCCTTTTAATCGATGCCCTGTGTTGTTAGCAGCCTGTTGATAAATCCACTTTTTAAGCTGATTGCAGTGGACTCCTGGGCTGACGGCAGTGCCAGATGTCAGGGTGGACTCTGCAAACCAGAACCGGCCACGTGGGTAACACTGAGGATGACCATTCTAGCCAGACATACGACCCGCTTAATTTGCTCAACGTTTGCATTTTAACCCTTCTCCTAATCTGCACTGCTGAATTCCGACACAAACAGATGTCCTGTTTAGAAGCCAGGCGCTCACAGCTGTGTGGCTGAGACCCTGGAAAGCAACAAGCCCGTCACGGTCGTTGTATCTGCTAAGTTTATTCAGGTGTCGGGCCTGGGGAGCCCCAGGAAGTCAGAACACAGAGAGCAAAGCCAGGAGCCCCCTGCCCGCCCGGGGCCCTGCCCAGGCTTACACGGCTCGCATGTTGTTCTCGGGCAGCAGCGGGATCTCCAGGACCTTGGTGTTGGAGAGAACGGCCTCGTGGCTGGTGGTGGAGACGGTCTTGCCCGTGATCCGGTGGACCTGGTAGAAGGCGTGGGGCCGCAGCAGGCGGTCGTCTGCCGTCCCGATGAACAGCTGTAGCGTGAGAGGCTCATCTTCTAAGTAGCCATGCAGCTGGAAGAGAACAACAAACGCCCACTAAGCACCATGCGCACAGACTGCTGGGAATCAGTTAAACTTCTACGAGAGCGATTCAACAGGAAACACGCACGGCCCTGTGAAGTGCCCGCCCCTGCCCCTGCACTGCTCGGTAACAGAACGCTGGTGCCTGCTTTAACAGCACACGTAGAGAGGGTCCCGAACACTGGGGTGAGGCTTCGAACGCGCCTGCAGCCCACACGGGACTCCCACCTACAGGTGCGCACACACGTGCAGGCAGACGTGTGCACTACACGCCCCTCCCGCAGGACCTGCACATGCACTGTGCACCCACGCACACACACACGCACGCACACGTATGCATGCACTCCCGCCTGGACGAGGAGCTGGTGAGAAAGAAAACACACTCCTGTCCCCGGGCATGGGAATGGGGCACTGTGTGGCCTCCTCTCCACGTGGCACAGGCCACAGCTGTGCTGTGCACTCGCAGGGCTCACTTCCCTGAGACCCAGAGGGGTCCTGCCACACTGACCCCATGCTCCCATTGCAGGTAAACCCAAGCCAAGCACAGCAACGCCCAATCCCAACTGGTAATACTACACACACTGCCCAATAAATACCAACTAGTGCCCCTCCTGCCATTTCTGCAGCCGCGTCCCCCAGGCTAGCTTTGAAACCTCTGTCACAGACAGCAACACCTGCCTGAGTGCGATAGGTGTCGCAAACGCTGCTTTCAAGGCCAGTGGCCCCAGTGTCACCTGTTCCAAGCCTGCACGGCCCACGGCAAACCCAGGAGCCAAACCCCAGGAGCCCTGTCCTTGACTCAGAGGGGCTGGCACCCCCCACTCCTCCCCAGGGAGGATTTGCAAAACTGCATCCAGGGAGTGAGACCTGCTGAGGCAGGGAGGGTGGGCCCTGCAGGTGTGGCCCAGGCCCCTCTGCTGGTTCCCAGCCCCTAGACTCCCACAAGTCACGCCCAGCCACGCCCCCAGGGCTCCACGGCTCAGCCTCTGCCTCCTCAGGTCACCACAGCCACAGAGGACAGACGGCCGAGAGGCAAGCGATGGCTGCTGTCGTCCTGAGGCCATGGGAACTGCTGAGATGGTGGGAGGTGACCTTGGGGCCCAAGGGCTGTTGGCGTCAGAAACGCTGACCAGGAGGCAGAAGGCTGGGGGGGGATACCCCAAGTCTTGGCGTAGAGAAGGGAACGCCCAGCCCTGAAAACGTGCTACAGGGGAGGGAGCTGAGCAAGGAGAGGGGGGCCGGGGCGCTGGGAGCCACAGCACAGCAGCTCGCGCGCTCCCAGCTCGCGGCGCTCCTTTTAACACGCCAATTTGGAAACGACAGGGACATGTTAACAAGGGAAGCAGAAAATCACACACTCAATTAGCGGCCGCTGGGTCTGATGTGGGCAGTGGACACCGCTTTTACAAGGCTGCTGGCCCCACACGTCCCTCGCGGGAAGATCGGCGGCCGGGACTCCGGTTTGATGCAGGCCCGGCCGCGGCACCGTGACGCTCATTAACTCCGCAGAGCCGCTGGCACCTGGCGGGCGGCCAGCAAGGACCCGCAAGATGAAAGGCCGCCGGCTGTGAGCCCACTTCAAACAGGCACTGCCCCACGACCACGGCGGCAGCCAAAGTGTGGAAGGCAACCCCAGCCACGCAGGAAGCAGTGCACGTGGGAGTGAGCACGCGGCTTTCCTCCCCCACGCAGGCGCGGGAGGCCCGGCGTCAACATTCAGTCGCAGCAGGGACCATCAAGTCCCAGCAGCTCTCAGTCCTGCCTGCCCGTGTCCACAAGAAACCAGTGCCAGACACTAGAAGCTGCAGCCGAGAGGCCAACACAGTGCCCGGCGCAGCCTCTGGTCATGGCGTGAACTGACAGGGCACGCAGGGCCCCCACGAACGCACCACACAGCCTGTGCTTGCGAGCTCTCTGCCAGGCTCACGGCAGGGGACACCAGTGTCACCTTCTGCCGGTGACGTGGTCCCAGACACCTGCAGACTCGACCACCTTGAAACTGACAGGCCGATTCCCGCAACCAGAGCAGAGTGTCCTCCCCGGCACACAGGAGTCTGACACCAGACGGGAAGGGTGCCGAGCCTGAGGGTGCGCGGCGGCCACACAGCCATCCCCGCAGACACCGGCAAGTCTGCCTGCGGCGAGGCCCCGCCCCCGAGGACGGCTGCTGATCACTCAGCTGCGGGAAGGCGCCATTCTCCTGTGAGCTGAGAGCAGGTGCCCCCACGGGGGTGTCCCCCACGGAAACACCACACAGGCAAGGGCATCTGCAACAGAGCCTCGGGGACCCCAGCCGTGGGGCCCTCTGGACTCCCTCGGAAACCCTCGCTCCGGCTGGGACTCAGGGTCCACTCGGTGAAACTGAGCGCAGGGACAGGCCAACGAGCCTCGGGCCAAGCCCCCCAGGAAACAGGAGGTGGCCTGTGGGAGCCGGCAGGGCCTGGCCAGGGCGGATGACTGTAAAATGGCAACTGAGTCCCCGAGGCCTCCCCTTGCCACCCCTGCCCCCCACACCAGCTCGGATGTGTGTGAACTGTGAATAGGAGGCAGAACTTTAGCCTTTAAAAAACATGCCGTTTCAGTGAAAATGGGATATTTAAGGCCTAACCTGGGAGGTAAACATCTATTATTTAAAACGCGAAGCTCATTTCAAGAAAAGAAATGTAAGATACCTCACGTGACCAGCACACGGGTTTTCTGCCTCCGGCACACACAGTGCCTGTCACGACGGCATCAGTACAGTCACCTGTCACAGCAACAACTTCTCTGCTCCCCCTAAGCTAAACAAAACGCATCACTCCCTCCACGGCCGGCGCTGGCCTCCTCACATTAGAATCACTCCCGGCCGGCGCCGCGGCTCACTAGGCTAATCCTCCACCTTGCAGCGCTGGCACACTGGGTTCTAGTCCCAGTCGGGGCGCCGGGTTCTGTCCCGGTTGCCCCTCTTCCAGGCCAGCTCTCTGCTGTGGCCAGGGAGTGCAGTGGAGGATGGCCCAGGTGCTTGGGCCCTGCACCCCACGGGAGACCAGGAAAAGCACCTGGCTCCTGGCTCCTGCCATCGGATCAGCGCGGTGCGCCGGCCGCGGCGGCCATTGGAGGGTGAACCATCGGCAAAGGAAGACCTTTCTCTCTGTCTCTCTCACTGTTCACTCTGCCTGTCAAAAAAAAAAAAAAAGAATCACTCCCCTCCACGGCCCGGCGCTGGCCTCCTCACATTAGAATCACTCCCCTCCACGGCCCGGCGCTGGCCTCCTCACATTAGAATGTTTGTTTTTAGCTCCTGTGCCGACCTCAGCACGTACACGGTGGATGACAGGCCGGGGACTGACTGGGCTGGAACGCAGGCAGGGGCCGCAGGGTGGAAGCAGTGCAGGGTTAGAGCCCGCTAATCGCCCACCTTTCAATGAGCACACACGAGAGCCTTCCCAGAACTCAGAGCAGAGCCGCAAGCACCGAGAGAAACGACTTGGTGCGGGCCCAGAAAGAGCGGTGTTCTCGACACCGCAAGAGGGGGCTCGGGGAGGCAGGAGCCCAGCCGGTTAACCGGCTTCTCTCCACTCTAACCGGCTCCACGCCCGCCAGGCCCGCTGCAGGGATGTGCGTGCTGCCCTGGGCCTCCGTCACGTCACGTCACGGCCGTGCCTCGGTCCCCTCATAACCAACCGCAGCAACGAGGGGTGCCCGGGGTGGCCCTGGGCTGCGGCCCGTCATGGTCTCCCTTCTACTTCAAAGGCACCATCCTAGAGTGGACTCCTACAGAGCAAGAGTGGGACCCTGGAGTCCCATGTGCCAGCTCTGTCCCACGTTCTGGACTTCTGTGCCATACACACACCAAGGGGTCCCTTTAAGCCTGGGCCAAGTGAATGCAACCTAAACACTAAGGCAGGCTGTCCTATGCACATCCTATTAAGAGAGCGCAAAGACTAAAAACACAAGCCAAACAGAGAAATCAGGGGAACAGCGAAAACACAAGTGACCCTCAGGCCCCCAGGACTGAGCACAGCACCCACTTGACCCCCAGGAACCACAGCATAGCACCTACCTAATCCCCAGGACTGAGCACAGCACCTACTTCATCCCCAGGACTGAGCACAGCACCTACCTCATCCCCAGGACTGAGCACTGCCCCCACCTGACCCCCAGGAACCACAGCATAGCACCTACCTAATCCCCAGGACTGAGCACAGCACCCACCTGAATCCCAGGACTGAGCACAGCACCCACCTAATCCCCAGGACTGAGCACAGCACCTACCTAATCCCCAGGACTGAGCACAGCACCTACCTCATCCCCAGGACTGAGCACTGCCCCCACCTGACTCCCAGGACTGGCAGCACAGCATGTACCTAATCCCCAGGACTGAGCACAGCACCCACCTGACCCCCAGGACTGAGCACAGCACCCACCTGACCCCTAGGAACCACAGCATAGCACCTACCTAATCCCCAGGACTGAGCACAGCACCCACCTAATCCCCAGGACTGAGCACAGCACCCACCTGACTCCCAGGACTGGCAGCACAGCACTCACCCGTGTCTCACTTCCCCCTCAGCCAGACCACCTCTGGCATTGCTGGTTGGGGGGTACCTTCCCTGGGGGGTGTGGAGGAGCCCCTGGCTGTCCTGGAACCTGCTGTTTGGGGGGTGCCTTCCCTGGGGGGTGTGGAGGAGCCCCTGGCTGTCCTGGCACCGGGAGCCTGAGCAGAGCAGGGCGTACCTGAGCCACTGTGGCCTCACCTCCGTGCAACGTCAGAGGACAAGGGAGGCCTGGGGTGGTGTCTGGAACTGCCACTTGGCCCAACACTGTCTCAGAGCAGAGAGAAAACGCCTGGGGTTCCCACTCTCCCGGCCACGGGCAGAGCCGGGCAAGCAGCTGTGACGGTGTCCCTGGCGCCGTGAAATGTGCCCACTTTCCACAGACAGCTGGAGGCCAGGAGTCTGCCTTATAGTTGTGAGAGTAAGCTTCCTTCCAGGTGGCCGTTAGTCCCCATA